GTACCAGTTCCTTCGCACGACACATTGTTTGACCCCATGTTGTTTAACAAATCTTTCAGAGCCATCATGGATTCAGCATCGGAGAGTTTACCAGCAACCCCAACAATTTCCTCTGGTTTAACCTTAAGGGCAACCTCGGCAACAATAGCCAATGCATCACGCCAGCTTACAGCCTTAAAGCGACCATTAGCATCACGAATCATGGGGTCATTTAGCCTCTGTCTCTTCAATCCATCATAACAGAAGCGAGTTTTATCTGATATCCATTCTTCATTTATATCCTAAAATGTCAATGACACAAGCAAAAGTTACTTATCTTGTCAAGTTAGACAGGCAAACAGAACATTAAGAAACATTCTTCTCTTTTTTCAACATTTTATTAACCATCAGAAACATTTCAATCATTAATGATTGTTACTCAGATAAAAACAAATTCGTTACTCTGAATCTTGCACAGTTGGGAGAGGCCATTTAACCATTTTTACCTTAAAGGAACAAACTCTAATAGAGAAGTCCACAGTTCACAATTTTCACGTTCTTTTAGAGGGTGTAGGGATGAGGGCCAAAATTTGCAACAAGCGATCTTCCGAACAAATGCAATTACCAGACAACAGAAGTGCAGTATTAACTCTATCCCATGCACTCCATGTCATACTTTAACCTATCAGTAGTCACAACGAAAAAAAAAAAGATATATCTACCTAGAAACTACAGCGGAAAATATACAGAATGATATCAGAATTGTGTTGTTACATATGCCACAATAATCACATTGACAATTTAAATCTAGAATAAATCAATCTTAAATTATGTGTCACAGCTTTTCAAGAACTAATATAGAGCTTGCTTTTCATAACAGAAACAATACAGGTCGGAGCTACCAAAATGATAAGATCAAAACAAGAACTAGCACAAAAGCAGTCAACAGATAGTTCATTGCTTCATGAGCATCAGATAAAAGATTTGCAGGTTTGTACCATAAGCGGCTTATGACAATTTACACTTACCTCATTTAAACGCGGAAGGATACGCATAACCTCAGGACCTCTGCTATCAATCCGAATGTTGGATCCAACCGCATCAGTCACATCAATGGTCTCGGTTCCTTTCAACTCCCAGTTTCGGGCCTTAAATGCAAAGGGTTTAGAGGTAAGGGCTCCAACAGGGCAGATATCAATTACATTTCCAGAAAGTTCACTTGTCATAAGCTTTTCAACATAAGTCCCAATTTCTTCTCCACTACCACGACCTAACATGCCAAGATCCTGAGTTCCAGCAACTTCTGTTGCAAATCTGACACACCTGATGAGACCACAAAAAATTAGTTGCAAATTTTAGCTCTACTCAAAAAAGAAAGAAAACTGAAGAGGCCTTGGAAGATCTATTTATTTATGAACCACATAACCCAAACAAAGCTTCATTTGGCTTCATTGAGGTGTTTCCCACAAAAAACACCAATAAGCATTTGACTTAATCAGGGGCATAATTTTGGTGAGAAAAGTTTTAGAACTTAGACTGAACTGTGTAAATATTGAAGAACGGCATCAGTCTACCATAGTGAAGCAAAGCAAAATTCACGCTAGAAGCTATACAGTCCAGCTTAATGACAATCTGATATAAACCATTCCAAGTGCAGGACAACACATGATTAAAAAGGTGGTGGACATATAAACAAGCAATAGCAGCAATAGTAGTGACAATAATACAACTATCATTCAAGTGGAAGCAGTCATCGTCTGGATTCAAATCTTAATATCTTAGAAATATAAAGAAATAAAGCAGTTGGGGCATATTGTTAGGTTAATTTCAGACCTTGTACACTGAATGCACCGAGTCATGACAGTCTTCACCAAAGGACCAAGGTTCTTGTCAACAACAGATCTCTTCATTTCAGTAAATCGGCCACGATCAGATCCAAATGCCATAGACTGATCCTGGAGATCACATTCTCCACCCTGATCACAGATTGGGCAATCCAGTGGATGGTTCATCAACAGAAACTCCATCACTCCTTCACGTGCCTTCTTCGCCAATGGTGTATCAGTCTTAATCTTCATTCCTATGTTACAGTCCCATGCAAATTAGAGAACATGATAAAATAAACAAATAATGTAGTCATAAACCAGAATCAAATCATCATATAACAAAAAGATATATTTATATCAAGAGAAGCACAACACCCTATAGGTTAAATTGTTTAAAATGAAAAACATTTTTGCTTTGAAAGTGTAATTTCACTTGAATTATTAGTATTTCCAAGCCATGATTGCGAAAAAGGTAAAACAAAAAAGAAATTACTGAACATATATAAATTTTAAAATAAACAAAAGAATTGGATTATAGCATAATGAATCACAGCACTGGATCTTTGTTATCATTAAAAGAACAAATAATACCATTAAGAATAACAAAGAATCGATGAAGCAAACGAAATAGTATGGGATTAATTTAATAGCCTAATCCAAATCACAAATTACATCACGAATCAGCGTAAATAAATCAAATTCAATCATCCATAAAGGTTAAAATCAAAGAAAATGAAAGAATTGAGCTAAAATGCAAAACTAAAGGGCATGGAATCGAAAGGCTCACCAGGGAGGGCGGGCATGGCGCAAGAGGCGACGGGCTTGGGGGATTTTTCAACCTCGACAAGGCACATACGGCAGTTCCCGGCGATCGAAAGTCGGCTATGATAACAAAACCTAGGAATGTCAACTCCAGCGATCTCGCAGGCCTGAAGAACAGTCATACCCTTAGGGATTTTCACCGAGAACCCATCGACGAACACCTCGATGGCATCATCGGGGTTTGTGAATTCGACCCGGGCACCTCCCACGGGCTTCTTTGGTGGAGGCGGAGTGGGTTCCGGCTGCGCTGCTGCTGCGGCCGATGAGGCATCGGGGGATTGGAGGCCGGGTTTGGTGACGATGGGTCGGAATCGAGAATACTGAGACGAGAGGATCCTGGTGGATTTAAGGGTTCTTGAAGCTAACGAGCCTAAAACCATTTCTCAGTACCAAGAGATCTCTAAGCTTAGCTTCCTTTGTTGGAGCTGAGAAGAGCGGCGAGTGGTTTCCAAATGCACTGAAATGAAATTAACTGATATGAAAGTTAGGTGGCCAAAGTATAAAGTTGTAAATATTTAGGGACTAAAATGTAAATTTTCAAAAACTATATTTGACTTTCTAAAAGAATCGTTATAAGAAATGCTGACGAAGTCCCTAAGAATGCTAGTTGGAGCTTCAAATACTTGATGAAAATCAGGTCTGAAGTTACTCCAATCTTTGTGGGTCAAGTCCAAGAGGTTAGCACGAGTTATATCTGGGATAAGCTGCGCTCCCCAGCTCCTAAGGTTCTTTGGCACCACTTGATCTGGTTCTCGGGTCGTATCCCCAAGCATAGTACCATCATCTGGATGACCTTACTAAACAGGCTTCCTACTCGGGTAAGGCTTCTGTGTATGGGCCTAGCCATAGAAATAGATAAATGCTTGTTGTGTGGTGAAGAGGCAGAGACAATGGATCATTTATTCTTTGAGTGCCAATTTGCTAAGGAGCTTTGGGGATCCATTCTTAATCTTTGTTGCATTTTTAGAGAAGGACGTAGCTGGGAGAGTGAACTGGCTTGGGCTTCCTTATTATTCAAGGGTAAGTCCCTCATTGTGGCAATACTTAAGCTTGCCTAGTTTGAGCACATTTATGGTATATGGAATGAAAGGAATGGCAGATTATTCGGGAATAGGGCAAGATTGAAGGATGAGTTGCTAGGTGATATCAAAGAGATCATACGCATCCAGCTGGTGGGCAAAGCTTTCAACCGGTTAGACTTGGTTAATAATACTCTGTGTGCCAATTGGGGCATTTCTTGAATAGAGTCTATCTTGTTGTTCTAGACTAGTTGACTAGTCTTTCTTTGTGGCTTCCTTGTGGTTTTTTCTTGCTTTGCTATTGTGTTGTTTATTGTTTTTGTATACTGTAGCAGGATTTTCTGCTTCTTGGGTAATGAAACTGAATTATATAAAAAAAGAGTCATTTAGCCCAAGAATGGAATTTTAATTTCGATTTTTGAAATGGAATTTACATAAAAGTCTATTAAGCATTAAAATTCAGTAAGATATTTGGATAATTGAATCGAATCGAATTGAAAGTTTACAAAAATTTAAAGAAAATTAGTTTGAGGTTAGAAATATTATACTAATATTTTTAATTAGTAGAATTTGAGATGGATTGATGGAATTTCTATGTTAAAGTGAAATAGTTAAATTTAGTGACTAAATTGAATTTTTGAAAAATTAGAAGGATAAAGATGAAAATTAGAAAATGTGATTTTTATATTTATTTAAGATTATTAAATTGGATATAAAAGGATGGTATTTGAGTAATTATTAAGATTTATTAAGGGTAAAATGATTTTTTGGATTAAAATGAATTTTTAATTCATTTTAAATTAGATTAAAGACAAGTGTAATTATATTTTTACATAGAGACTTCAAGAATTTTTGCTCCCATCTTCTTTCATTTAGCCATGAGCCTCCATTGACAAAAGGTAAGCAAGTTTTCTTTTTTCTTCTTTTAATTTTGGTCTACTTTAATAGGATTTTTGACTAAAATGTGAAATAGAAAAATAGTTTCCACTGAATTCTCTTTCATTTGGTATTAAAATCTCATTGTTTCCCTACTTGATTTGTGAAGTGAGTGATTATGGTGGATGAAGAAGAGATGAGAATTCAATGAAATAAAGTTGAATTAAGATGTTAGTAGTGTTGTAGGATTAAAAGCAAGCATGGAAATTGATTGAAATCAATTAGAGGGACTTGTTTGCACAATTCGATTACTATATGGGTTTTTATGGAAAAATGTTAATTTTGTTTTTTGTGATTTGAAATCGATTGGAAATGAATTATAGATGAGGATTCAAGCTTGAAAATAAATTGGAGACCATTAGAAAATGATATAGTAGTATTCGGTTTCCCCCTTCAATTATTACACCATCTTGCTGGAAACGAATGGTAAAAAGAATCATCTCTCAGTCGATGCCCTGTATTTTCCTAAACATCAAGACAAACTCGTACACTTTTTCGGGCTCGGGCACGACTTTCGCCACGCTCTCCCTCTGCAAACACCTCTTCGTCCACCTCGAAAACTTGGGACACACCGCCGTCACCGTAAATCCACCTATCTTCTCGATCGAGAAGAACCAGTAGGTTAGAGGGATCGCGATGATGTCGACGAACCCGAATGTGGCACCATTGAAGTATTCTTTGTCCCCCAAGGCTTCTTCCAACTGTTGAAGTGGCAATTCAGGTCATCAGAAAATCGGGAGAATATTAGAGTATTATACGGCTGTAACAGCTATAACTGTTTTAGTTATTCTGTTATAACTGAATTCTAGTCAGTTGGGCCATTTAGTTGGGCTAGTTGGTTAGCCTTAGTTGTATATATAGTGGGCATGTCCACTATTCATTTTTAGTTAAGCATTGTTTGTATTTTTCCAGAATATTGAAATCATTTCTGTTTGGCTTCAGTAATCGTCTTTCTCTTCCTTTTGTTTTTGGTTATTTCCTTTCTTTTCAGTTCACCTCTGTTAGATTACATTTCATTTACTTTCATGGTATCATTCGCCTAAATTCCTGTGGCCTTTAGCTTTCGTTCTGCATGGTTCTCTAGCGTTTTTCTCAATTTCTCTTAGGTTGTTCGTGATTTGGGATTCTTCTTTCGTTCGTCGCATTCTCCTTCCGATTGTTCCTCTTTTTGATGCCGGTGAGATTGTTCTTTTACTGCTCCCAATTGAACTTGTGTATTGCATCTCCATTTGCCTAATTGCTTTCGGCATTCATCTCTTATGTTTTTGCTTTAATTCTGTTGATGGGCCATCGCTTGACCTAATAGCTCAAATTGGTGCAAAATTACGTTCTGGTTGTTTCATCATCAATGCTTTGTTATTCAGTTCTTGCTTAGTTCGGTGCTTTGTCTATGCTCTTCGGTGGTTCCTTAATACTGGTGAGATCGTTCCTCTCTCTTAGCTGATTAGCTTCCTATTTTTTTGCTTCTTTATACTTTCTGGTTGAAGACTTGTGCTTTGCCTGCTTTATGCTTTATGTTTTGGATTCTGTTTGCTTTCTGCATTGTGTTTTGAATGGCGAATTCCGTCGATGAAAATGCTCTAAATGTCATTAGTGGCTCTGCCTCCTCTGCTCCTAATAGGCTATTCTCTACTAAGAAGATTAATGTTACCTTAGATGATCACATCTACGTGATATGGCATCATCAAATTTTTCTCACTATTAAAACACATAGACTTCAAAAATACATAGACTCTAACATCTCTTGGCCTACACAATATGTAACTAGAGATGGTGTTGTTAGTTTAAATCCTGAGTATGAACTTTATTAAGAGCAGGATGAAGCTCTTGCTTCCTGGTTGCTCTCCACTGTTAGTGAGGAAGTCCTACCACATCTCATTGGTCTTAATATTTCTGCTGAGATTTGGAATACTCTTCATAGGTTATACAGTGTCAAAACTACCTATAGATTGATGTCATATAGGAGAATGCTTCACTCACAGAGAAAGGGAGATCTGAGTATGAGAGATTATCTGATGAAAATTAAATTTGTATGTGACAATTTAACAGTTGTGGTGAGATAATATCAGAACATAAACACATCACTGCTATATTGAATGGTCTACCACCTGAGTTTGAGTCAGTTATCACTGTTATAACTGCTACCCCCACTCCTCCAGATCTAAGATATGTGAGCACCATATTACTGGATGCTGACACTAGATAATCTCAGTCTTTTAACCGTGTCATAGCTTGTGCTAATGTTGCTACTCAAGCTACAAGTGATCAAGTGACCTCCAATAATACTTCACATTCTGAATATCAGTATAAGGGTGAACTTGTTGATAATATTGGTCAAAATTTTAGCAACAGTAACAGCAGTAATAGGGGCAGAGGTCGAGGATGATTTTCATCCTCTAGACCACAGTGTCCATTGTGTGGTCGGATGGGACATCTTGTTGAAAGATGCTATTATAGATTTGATATGAACTATAAAAATGAATCCTCTCGGCCTACACAAAACACTAACACTAAAGGATATTCCAATATTCAAGCCAATGTCAGCTCGTATAGTCCCAACAGTGACAACTTCAACTCTTATAATCCAGTGTATTATACACGTTATGCACATCAAATTCCTCAATTTTCTGCACCTCAAATTCCTCAATTTTCTGCAGTCTCTCAAGCTCCACAAGTTTCTGCCTTTCGACCACAGAATTATCCTGTTAATATTCAACATCAAATCTGTTCGAATCCCCACAACATGTCTTCATTCCTTACTGGAAATCCAAATCAGTTCACTGTTGTTACTCAACCACAAATCACATCTCAAGCCTATATAGCTACACCTGAGACAATTGATGATAATGCTTGGTATCCAGATTCTGGAGCAACTCATAACATAACAAAAGACTTGAATAATCTGCAGATTGAAGACACTCACCCTAGAACAGATAGTGTAATTGTAGGCAATGATAACTCACTTCCAATATAGTATACTAGTCAGTCATATTTCTGTGTTAATTCTAATAAGTTTCACTTAAATAAGTTGCTTTATGTTCTTAATATTTTTAAAAATCTGCTGTCTGTTTCCAAATTCACTTAGGACAATCAGGTTCTACTTGAGTTTTATCCTAATTTCTGTCAAATTCGTGATCTACAATCTTAGAAAGTGTTGTTGAAAGGAAGTCAAGATGGAGGATTGTACAAATTCAATATTGCTATGAATAGCACTGATAATGCTTGTATGACTGCTGATGATAAATTGCATATTAATAATGCTGATAATAATTCTTTGTCTTCAATAAACTGTTACATTGTGAATACTAGGGTGTTTGTAGATGTGTGGAATAAAAGACTTGTCCACCCTTCTAAAGAAGTGTTACTTTCTGCATTAAAACATTACAATGTAACTCTTTCTGATATAAATAAAGAACATATGTTGTGCAAAGCATGTCAGCTTGCTAAATCACACAAGCTGCCCTTTTATGACTCACTTACTGTGTATGAACAACCATTATAACTTATAGTATCAGATGTGTGTGGTCCTACTCCTATGTACTCTAATGGGTTTAGGTTTTATGTTGCCTTTACTGATGCTCATAGTAGGTATACTTAGATTTATTTCTTGAAACAAAAATCTGAAGTTAAATCTGTTTTTCTTCAGCTTCATAGACAGGTGGAAAGGCAATTTGGTGTAAAACTCAAGGTTTTTCAATTAGATTGAGGAGGTGAGTTTGGTGCTCTTTAAGCTTACATGAAAGAACAAGGTATAGTATATAGGTTGTCATGTCCTCATACTTCAGAACAAAATGGTTTAGTGGAAAGGAAACATAGGCAAATTGTTGAGGTAGGTCTCTCTATGCTAGCCCAGGCTTCTATGCCTGTTTTTGAAATGATGCTTTATCTAGTGTTGTTTTTCTTATTAATCGATTACCTACACGTGTGATGTCTGGTTTGTCACCATATGAGAAAATTTTTCATAAAGTATCAGATTATAGTTTTTTAAGAATTTTATTTTCGTTCTTCTGCATGTGTCTTCTTGGGGTATTCACCTGTTCACAAGGGATATAAGTGTTTAGACTCTAGTGGTTGTGTCTATGTGTCTAGACATGTTCGATTTGAAGAAAATGAGTTTCCTTATCAACAACACCAAAGTTTTCCCACTGTTTCTGGTCAGTCAGTATTAAACAGTCGAAAGCACTCAAGTGTCAACAATATTTCTCAAAATAACTTGTTTTATCATTCATTTCTTTCCATCCCCACTAGCACACACAATCACAAATCTATTTTACCATCTACTACACCATCAACATCATCACCTTCACCACATGTATTATCTTTAACACAACACATCATATCTTCATTTCTTCCTCCAAATTCATCTCATTCAAATTTTCATTCAAATTCATCATCTTCTACACCATCATCATCTTCACCACATGTATCATCTTCATCACAACAATTCATCTCCTCCCCATCTCATCCATACATCTCATAATCAAATGAATCACCTAAAGTGCAGAATGCTCATCCTATGGTCACCCGTGGCAAAGCTGGCATTTTTAAACCTAAAGTGTTGCTTGCTGAGACAAGTCCTCAAGAGCCAGCAAATATCTATGGAGCATTGCAGCATCCTGCTTGGTGTGAGGCTGCTCATAATGAATATGTTGCTCTTATGAAGAATGGTACATGGGAGTTAAAGCCTCTGCCACCAGCACGCAAAGCAGGTTGTAAATGGCTTTTTAAAGTCAAGAAGAAGCTTGATGGATCAGTTGACAGGCTTAAGGCTCGTCTAGTGGCCAAGGGGTATTCTCAAATGGTGGGAAGAGATTTTTCCGAGACGTTTAGTCCAGTGGTTCGAACAAGTACAATAAGAACTATACTGGCAGTTGCTGTCATGAAGGATTGGCCACTTAGACAAATTATCAACAATGCATTCCTCAATAGAAGGCTAACAGAGGAAATATACATGTGTCAGCCTCCAAATTTTGAGTAGAAAAGTGAAGATAGGAAGGAGTTGGTATGTTGCTTGAAGAATGCCCTTTATGGACTTAGAAAAACACCTAGAGCATGGTTTGAAACTCTGAGAAAATTTCTAGTTGAAACCTTGGGGTTTGTTGTTTCAAGGGCTGATCATTCCCTGTTTATTAGAAGTTCAACATGTTCTCAAATATTGTTAATGGTGTATGTAGGTGATATAGTCATCACAGGAAGTCAGGTGATAGAAGTGGATGCTATAGTGCAAGCAATTAATGAGGAATTCTCTCTTAAGGATTTGGGACAATTAGAATTGTTTCTTGGAATGCAAGTTGAACACTCTCCAAGAGGCTTGTTTTTAAATCAGAAAAATTATATTTCTGAGTTGTTAAAAATGTCAAATTTGGATGAGACAACTCCAACTCCCACGCCTATGGTTCTTGCTCCTATGCTTAAGGCTAATGATGGGCAGTTGTTTGGTAATATTCATCTTTATCGCAATATTGTGGGAGGTTTATAGTATGTATGTTTAACAAGCCCTGACATAGCCTATGTTGTTAACAAGGTTAGTCAGTACATGAACAGTCCATGTGATACACATTGGAGGGAAGTGAAACACATACTAAGATACATCAGTGGGACACTTGAGTATGGGTTATTTTTCTCACAAACTGACAACTTCAGTTTAGTCTGCTATACTGATGTAGACTGGGCAGCTTCGGTGGAAGACAGGAGATCTATAACAGGTTATTGTGTATATCTTGGAGGTAATCCAATTGCATGGTGCTCTAAGAAACAAAGTGTTGTCTCTAGGTCCATATCAGAGGCAGAGTATAGGAGCCTTGCTAACTCTGTTTCTGAGTTAATTTGGATTGAGTAGTTACTTGATGAAATTGATGTTATTATAACTGGAAAACCAGTTGTGTGGTGTGATAACACATCTGCAATTTCTATGGAAGCAAATCCAACACATCATGCTCGAATAAAGAATGTGGAAATTGATAATCACTTTGTGAGGGAAAGGGTTTTTGCTGAACAACTTAGTGTAAATTTTGTTCCTTCTGCAGAATAGGTGGCTGGCATACTCACCAAGCCATTGTCACCGGCAGTACTTAGTGATATGCGCTCACGTCTTGGTGTTATATCTTAGGCAGAAATCAACAAAAGTTAGTCTGAAAAAGGCCAGGAAAATGTTGAAGTGGCAATTCAGATCATCAGAAAACCGGGATAATATTAGAGTATTATACAGCTGTAACTGTTTTAGTTATTCTGTTGTAACTGAATTCTAGTCAGTTGGGCCATTTAGTTGGGTTAGTTGGTTAGCCTTAGGTTATATATAGTGGGCATGTCCACTATTCATTTTTAGTTAAGCATTGTTTGTATTTTTCCAGAATATTGAAATCATTTCTGTTTGGCTTCAGTAATCGTATTTCTCTTACTTTTGTTTTTGGTTATCTCCTTTCTTTTCAGTTCACCTCTGTTAGATTACATTTCATTTACTTTCACCAACTGCTTCAATATTTCTATAAACTCATTTTTTGCTTTCACCGGTACCTCCCCTTTGCATCTCCATATATTTCTGCATGTATCAAATACCTGTCAAACTCACACATGTTAGATAAAGTTCAAACTAATGTAATCGAATAAGTCCTCATATATGTAAACCACTTTTCTATCAATGTAATCATCCCAGAAGCGTGCCTGAGCTTGACCATACGAGCACGGTAGGAGCAGTGGAGGGGAAGACCAGGTCTCGTCGATGTAGCTAACGATGATGGTGGACTCGTATAGGGGTTTCATGTCGTGCAGGAACACGTGGACTTTCTTGTAGATGGGGTTAGAGTTGAGAAGCAACTCACTTTTACCACCGAACAAGTCCTCCGGTCGAGCTTCGTATTGAAGGCCTTTCTCGTTCAAAGCGATCTTCACCCTCATGCAGAAGGGACTAACCCAAAAGTCAAGAAGAAGAAGCTCGACCTTGGACATGTAGAATTTTTGTGTATTTTGTGTTGGTTTTGCTGCGAAGAAATGAGTGAGAATTGTACCAAATTTATACGGACTACGTTCTGCAGTGTGACGGGTACTTCTGTTGTGCGGCTCCTAAAAAAGGGCTAAAAAATGGCGTGACCGGTTAAAATTTAGACCGGTTATGTTATATCATTTAACCAGAAATATTATCAAGCACAATAACATATTAGGTAGCGCTTATATAATGTAATAGGTAGCGCTTATATAATAAAATAAGCATTTAACCGGAAATATTACCAAGTATAATAACATATTAGGTAGAGCTTATATAATGTAATAGGTAGTGCTTATATTGACCTATTTTCTCATAAAACCGGTAAATTTCAACCGGTTACATTGTAAATTGACCTATTACGTTATAATTATCAGTTTCAATGTTTTTGGAATCGATACAATTTTAAATGTATCAACACTGAAAAGGAAATGCCTCAAGCCTAAATGCTATGAGGTGATCTTTATTTATACAATCAATTGTACATGTATAAAAAATGAAATAAAAGGAATATATACAATTAAAGGCAATTAACTAGAATTAAGGTGAATCAATAATAAGAGCAAGAATCATGTAGAATCAACTAATTTCTTGGTCACGATCAGGGGAAGCGGATTCTCCTCTAATATCCCCCTCAAAGTTGGCGTGGGTGAAATGGGAAAAACGCATAACTTGGAACAATCCAACAAAAACTGTAATTTCGGCACCCCTTTAGTGAAAACATCGGCCAATTGAAGATGAGAGGGGACAAACCCAAGACTAAGGACCCGTCGAGCTACAAGTTCCCTAACAAAATGATAATCGATGTCAATGTGCTTGGAACGAGACTTGGTGACTGGGTTGGAGGCCATAAAGATAGCACTTTGGTTATCGCATAACAATCTCGGAGGAGAGGGGAGTGTGATATGAAGCTCACGAAGAAGCTGAAGTGTCCAGGAAAGTTCAACAGCAACAGAAGCTAGAGCACGATATTCGGCTTCAACACTTGAAAGAGCAACAGTAGTTTGCTTTTTCGAACACCACAAGATGAGACTTTGACCAAAGTAAACAACATAGCCTATTGTAGAGCGTCGGGTAACAGGGCAGCTAGCCCAATCTGCATCAGAATAACCAAGCAAAGTCGAAGAAGAATCTCGCGAGAGTTGTAAGCCATAATGATAGGTGTCTTTAACATATCGTAAAATACGCTTCAAGGCACGAAAGTGATCAGTAGTAGGAGCATGCATATATTGACATATAGAGTTAACATTGTAAGATAAATCAGGTCGAGTAAGAGTCTAATATTGCAAAGCTCCTGCAAGTGACCGAAACTGAGTGGCATCAGAGTAAGCAATTCCAGATTCAATTAGATGAGATCCCACCAAAAAAGGAGTAGAAATAGGTTTGCAATCCACTATGTTTGCCCGAGTCAGCAAATCAAGAGCATATTTGGTTTGGCTGAGAAAAATTCCTTTTTCATTGCGAATAATCTCAATTCCCAAAAAATAGTGTAAATTACCAAGATCCTTCATTGAAAATTCTCGTGCCAATCGATCGATGAGTGTACGAAGCATAGATTACTTATTACCTGTAATAACCATATCATCGACATATAAGAGAAGATAAATAACACCATGAGGACCATGATACACAAAAAGTGAGGAATCAGCAAGACTCGCAATAAAACCAAGTCCAAGCAAAAACTGACTGAAACGCTGGAACCATGCCCGTGGGGCTTGTTTCAGACCATAAAGAGCATGTTGTTAGCGGCAAACATGATAAGGGAATTTGGGATCAGTGTATCCTGGTGGTTGTTCCATATATACTTCCTCTGTAAGAAAACCATGGAGAAAAGCATTTTTAACGTCAAACTGATGAAGTGACCAGCCATGCATAGCAGCTATGGATAAAATAATTCGAACAGTGACAGGACTAACAACTGGACTGAATGTGTCATTGAAATCAATGCCATGTTTTTGAGGAAAACCTTGGGCCACAAGACAAGCTTTGTGACGTTCTATAGAGTCATCTGCTCAAAGCTTTGTCTTAAAAATCCACCGACAACCCACAACATTATGATCAGTCGGACGTGAAACCAAACGCCATGTGTTATTGTGCTTGAGAGCATCAATTTCATCATCCATGGCAGAAAGCCACTCCGGATGTTTGACAGCTGACGTAAATCCACGAGGCTCCTTAACAGCAAGATGTACCTGAAACCACGTGGGAGCAGACAAAGTACGTAACGAATGAATAGTGCGGGGTTTAACAAAATCGTTCTTAGCACGAGTAACCATAGGGTGAGTAGTTGTCGGCAATTGACTAGAGGAAGAAGGAACATGAGGTATGACTTCCAATACTATCATCGATGATGAAGGTTGAGGAGAATCTTCAGGAGGTGGTGAAAGTATACTTGAATCAGCACAAGGAACACACAAGGTGGGGGTCGGACGAGGAGCTGAAGTCATACTTGAGGAAGTATTATTAGGAAGAAAACTATCAGAAGGGTCATCAAAAGTGACATAATCAACACCATCCAAAGAAGGAAGAGTCGAGTTGGAAGCATAAGGAAAATAATCTTCAAAAAATTGTACATGACGAGAAATATAGACCCTGTTAGTTTTCTTATCCAAGCAACGAAAACCTTTGTGAAGATGACTATAGCCAATAAAAATACAAGGAAGAGACCTTGGAGATAATTTATTTGGCATATAATCACGTAGATAAGGAAAACAAAGGCAGCCAAAAGTACGTAACAAGGAATAAGGAGGAAGATAACCATACAAATTTTCATAAGGGGACTTACCATGAAGAACCGGTGATGGGAGGCGATTAATGAGATAACAAGCTGTGGAAAATGACTCAACCCATAAACGTAAAAGTACATGAGAATGAAACATGACAATTGTCGTTTTTTTGTCAAAATAATTCCTTATTCTCAATCAATAAATTAAGGAAATGCGTAGCAAGGAGAAGTAAGGGTCGATTCCACAGGGACTTAGAAAATTATAAATTTCTATCTGAATTATTTATGCCAGGCGTGAAACAGTAAAAATTGGGGGGATTTTAATAAAAGATAATAAAGTGATTAAATAAAAGTAATTAAAGTAAAAATAAAAAGGTGAAGATTGTGAATAAATACGGTAAAAGTAGCCTCAAGCTTCGCTTTGATTTAATTTCCTTTAGATCATCGAATAAGATTTTCTCTTCGGGATTCACGTCGGTTACTTTGTCTACAAGGGCTATCCTTGTGACTCTATCTTGTATACCGAATACCTAAGGCAATCTTTGATTCCGGCTTCGGTAGTTGATTCTAACAACATCTATTGTCGTAGATCAAATACCGTTTAAGTTCGTGGCGACTGACTCGGATTGTTGTTTCTATAACCGTCAATTCCGATCTCAATTCCCTCTTGGCGAAGCTATCTCGCCAAGTGTGTTCCCAGGAAGTCGAATTACTTTCTATAAGCCGAATCTTCCTCCCACACGTTTAATCGCAACAACTTCTTGACCAAAGTCAATCTTCGATTTTGAAAACTGTTTTGATTTTGAAAAATAAGCTCAGAGATTGAGAGAGAGATTTCGAAGATATTAAGGGACCGTTTCAATTCTCCCGTTGGAATTGAATCATCGCGACAGCTCTCGGCTTATGAAAAGTTTAGCTAAGCATGACAAAAGTCATACTTAGCATAAAAATAAAACTTGAAAATAAAGAAAAATAAAAAGAACTTGAAAAGGAAAAGAGAAAACTTTTATAAAAACTAGAGAGAAAAAAATAATGTATTCTGAATGATTATTTTAGGCTTACCCCAAGTGGGTATTTATAGCCTCTCAAAGCCTAAAGGATAAGCAAAGAAAATAATAAAATAATACAAAAGATAATTGTTTTTAAATTTAAATTCAAACTTAAACTAGTCTCCTAATGCAACTCTACTCGTCAATCTTCCAGAAGGCGTGTGGAAGAAGTCTTCTAGAAACCGCCGGTGACTGGACCTTCTAGAAACTTCCACGTCAGACCGCGTCGTGCCCAGAGTCGTGCCCATGTCTCCAGCCGTGACCAAATAATAAAAAAATTGCAGAATTCGCCCGTTTTGTCACAAATTCTGAAAAACAATGACCTGTACGAAAACAAGCACAACACGACCAAATCAACAGCAATAAATCCACAAAACCGAAGAAATAACGAGCAAATATTAACTATTCTGAACACTCATCAAATTCCCCCTCACTTATCTCATGCTTGTTCTCAAGTATGATTAACCAAATCAGTCAAAAACTTCATTAAACGTTCTTTCTCATGTTTCACATTTAGGGAAGCAAGGTAGAGACCACAATAACTATTCAAGTCAAGAAATCAATCAATTGAACATCACCAATTGGAACAAGTCAAGTGCAATTGTAATATCCATTCATTCATTAATGTCAATGCTCATAACTCAATACCTTATCGGGATTCACTCAAATCACTCAATGTGTTTGGGGTAAAGAAACGCTCAATGTCAGAATTTACACGGTATTACCATAAGCCTGTAAGTAAATCAAATCTCCACTACTAATAAGAACAAGATGCATAAATCAAAGGGTCTTTTATTGGTTGTAACGTGGCTTAGGTAAAGGTGGGGAAAAGGCTAAATATATGGCTAAAATTCAAGGCAAGGAACTAACAAATAATAATCTCAACTCCATCAAAACATTAAGCACAACAAGATAAAAAGACGACATATCAAACAACAATTTTCTCGTCGAAATGCATTTTTTCTTTTTCACACTTTTGTTGTTTTGTTTTCTATTTTTTTTCATGTCTTTTTTTTTTCTTTCGAATAGTTTTTTTTCGAACTGCTATTTTTTTCAACATTTTTTTGTGATGGAGAATACAATGGTAAAATTATTCACTTGCCCTGAAAAAGGTAGAAAAGAGGGATAAAATAAAAAGGCTCGGGTTTATGAATATGGTGGAAACAAAGAAATTAAAATAGGCTCAAAAGTG